AGCCCGCACCCCACCCGAAAGCAGCCACTTGCTTTGGGGTCCCCTTTGGGGTCCCCAGGCCCAGCGCTCCCAGCAACGCTGCGGTGGCAAAGAGCTCCTTCCACCTCTCGCGCTCTCCCTCCGCACCTTCCCACTATCCAATATTTTATTTCTAAGTCTCGTATCTGCTGCTCTCCCTCCTCCTTTCTCAGCTGCCTTCGATCGATTTTGCTCTTTTTCCAAAGTACCTTTAATCTGGCCTCTTAATAAATTCTCGTTTGCCATTCACACAAACGAGCATCTGATGATCTCCTGAATCCCCTTAATAAATTCCCCTCGCCCGGGACAGCCGAGGCAGCGCGACTTGTCTCACCTTGCCAGGGCATGCGTCCCTGCCGGCATCTCAGCGCAGGCCATGAGCTCTCCTGGCAAAATAGCTGGAGTTTCCCCGTAAGCGATCCCATTAGCCGAGGAGCCAGGTCCCCTCCACCTCCCGCAGCCTCCTTGGTAATTATCTCACCTCCAGAAATGTGACTTTAGAGTATTTCCAGGATTAATGCACATTCCTAGCCCTGGGAGAGGAGCAAAGAGCCCAGCCGCGTTCCCAATCCACCACCCTCATCCTGATGAATGAAGCTGAAGAGCAGACACAGCACGGATCCCATCAATAATAATTGCATAATTAAATCTAATGCCTTCCCTCTCACCTAACACAACCTCTTCTTCCAGAAGTAGGAGGTTTTTAAGGCCTCACCTAAAGAAAGCAGCAGCCAGAGACGAAGACCCGAAGCGCCGGCCAGGAGAGGGGACCCGGGTGACCCATCAGTCCCACGAGATGGGGGGACAAGCGTGGTCTGGATGGGGAAGGCAGGAACGTTGCTCAACCCAAAGCCACATCAGACCACCGGTGGGCAGGATCCCACCACGACCCAGCAGAAGGACAGGGCTTCCTACAGAGCAGTGCCTCCGGGTGAGACTCTCTGATGTCTAGTAAAAGGGCTAAGCTCCCTGCAGCAGGGTACTGAAAGGGTCTCTCTTAGTATGCTTGCACGAAACCAGGAGAAACTTTCCTAGAAACTTCCCTGCCCCAAACCCCTGCCTTCTCTCGGTTTTGCCCAGCCTGGACACGCACAGGCACAGCTCCTTAAAAAAGCAGAGTAAAAATGACACAGACCTTGAGGAAAGAAGAAGATTTTTCCTTGTTTTATTCCCCCCTGCCAAGGGCTCTCCAGAGAGCAACAAATCCAAGTCTGGTCCTGACGCCAGGGCTGAAATCAGCCCTGTGCTTGGTCTATATGGGACCCCCCCAGACCCTCACAGCACCAAACCCTAATGCTGGGGCTAGCAACAACTCCCCCGGCCAGGCTACCCGACAAGGCTCTCAGTTCCAGACACCAGTTTCCTTTAGCACCCACCCAAAAAAACCCCAGCCAAAACCAACCCCCCCTAAACATTGCCTGCGTTCTGCATGGGTTATTAGGATCCGTTAGAGCGATGTGTGAGCGTTCATTGCACAGCCCCCCCCCCCCGTAAGGACAAAACCCTGCAGCTGCAATGCATTCCTCCAGCCCAGGCTGGCACAAGGTATTTAAAAAATGGAAAGATGACACTGAAGGTCACCGGCAGCCACAGCAGCTTCCCCCTCCCAGGAGATCCAACCCAGCACCCCGGGAAAAGCAAAGCGGGGGGAAGAAGGTACCTGCTCCGGCCACAGGCAGCATCTCCCAGGAGCAGGCAGGGCCGGCGGCACAGAGCCGCAGCGCGGGGCCGAGAGCCCAGG